GATTATGATTATTGTTCAATGAGGTAACTTCTATGCTACTGTTAATTTAACCTATTATAATGTAATTACATATTTACAATGCATTTTGTAACTAGAATATTTCTAATGTGTTTTAAATTATTAAATTTAACAAGTAGGAAGAATAAACTGTGTTTGTTTATCCAAAAAGAAGCTGTCATCTGTTCTAAAGATAAGAAGGAACGTGGACTTAAAATAAATAGAGAGAGCAGAACTTTTAAAATGATTAATTACCCCTTTCACCCATCCCTGGGAATTACTTACGTAAAAATGGTATCCCAAATCAAATTCCACTACCCTTTAATTCAGCATGAAATGGTCACTGAGATGGGATCTAACACTCCAGTTCCTAGGAATCTTTTTGAAAAATCTTAAAAGCTGTGTAAATACAGAAATCAATTTTGAGGTTGATGTAAAGCCACTATAACAACCTAGCAGGTTATCTCCACTCCCCAACCTAACTACACAATGGTTTATTCGGAGCAAGCCCTTACTTCTGTTTTTCTCTTGACTACACACACTTACAATCATTACAGTATGACAGTGAAAGTTATTTTAATGATGCATATGGTCCCTAGTACATATAATATATTCAAAACTAAGGGTTATTCTCTTTTGCTTTGGGGATGTGAGGGTTTCATATATTTTAAAAATTTGTCAATTAAGAAGTGTCCATCTGGTTTAAGATTCCAAATCAGTATTGGAATATATACCTAGACTTTAAAAAAACTATTTCCAAAAGGTATATTGTACAGAATGGTTAAAATACAAAACATTAAAAAGCAATTTCTCTTGCACTTACTTGCCAAGTGAGGCCACGAAGTTTCCATATTTCCCCAGCAACATTTCAGTGACATCACAAAGCTATACAAGTCTCCTTGCTCACATTAGGAGTTTATGATGTCATCCATTGCAGAAGAAAGCCAGAAACTAACCGAGGCCTCAATCGGCAAATTAAGCATGAACATATTTTCAAAGATCTTTAGATGTAAATATAAAAGGCTTGCTTGTGTTTTATTCTAAATACACACAATAAGACACCATTCCCATTGGCCCGGGGTAAGAGTAGTGTTCTTTATTGCTATTGCTGGATCTTTCTTGGGGACTGCACCTTGATAGGGTGGGCAAGCTTATGCAGTCCAAAGACCTTCCAAGTTATGCTGGTGGAAGTTTTCACTCCTTGTAGGATGGGGACCAGACAAGAAACAGTCCATTGGTTCTCCAGGTTGGGGGTTGAGCAACAGGCCAGTAATCTATCCTCATGAAAAAAAACTAAGTTATAGAAATGCAACAATGTCAGTAAGTAGGCAGAGCCTTTTTTGTGCAGCAATTCTAAGCAACGTTTGGCAGCTCAGTACAGATTCAGATGCAGCTGGAGATCTGAGTTCAGTTTGTGATCCTGGTCCTATTTTTGCTTTAAGTGATGTGGAAACAAAGCAAGGGACAATCCCACTGCTCCAAAATGAGCTCTGACAGACTAAAAGAACAACACTGAAGGGCCCTGGAGACCTGCCCGGGACATCCACAGAGTTCTGTAAGAGATGCATGCCTTCAGAGTTAAAGGATAAAATTGAATGAACACAGGTTCAACTAAAAAGTTATCAAGTCCTCTTGAGGGAATTAATGTGGCTGTAGCAAAATAATTACATATTTTGGCTAGCCACACAAGACCAATTTTGTGTAACTGATATGCCACGTGTGTCTCTTCTTTTAACCATCTCCCAAAATAATAATATAGCTCTCAGAGAAAAAAGGCCATGAACATGAGCAATTTGGCCAAGATTTGACAAAGTTTGTGTGAGGAAGACTTGAAATTTTGTTCTAAAATAAACACAAAGTTAAAATGAACTCAAAATAATTACATATTTTGGCTAGCCACACAAGACCAATTTTGTGTAACTGATATGCCACGTGTGCATGTCTCTATTTTTATTAGGTGATAGTGACTAATAATGTATATATGTGTTGTCCTTCTCTCCTTGCCATATGAATAGCTTATTATTGGATAATACAACAAATGATAAAGAATATAGCAGAACTGTCTGACCCTTTCCTAAATAGGACTGGAGAGGGGAGGGTACGGTGGAAGAGAAAGTAAATCAGCCAATCATTCCTTTAGTCTATCCACTCTCCCGTCTCTTATTTGCATACTGCAATCCTATTGACCATTGTATTTACAAAGTACAGACTTTTTTTTTAATTAAAAAAGTTTTTTTTTATAGCAAGTGAACATGAGAGAAAAAAGTGTCATCTGAATGACACTGCGTTTGTGCAGTTAGGATCAGAACTGCAGAACCAGTTCTCTGTACAAGTGTACAAATAAATATTTTATGGATACTTTATTTTTAACTACATCTTTTTTGCTTCAATATAAAGACACCTGGTGTCAGGCCAGAACTCACCATCTGCTCCCCTTCTTCCTTCCAAGGTCTTAAACTCTTTTACTGAAATAAAATCTATGGGAACTACGCACGTGTGTTTTCCCCATCTGTCCCAAGGGCAACCATGACCATCACAGAGAAAAACAGCCTTTGCCAGTATGGCACTATGACCACATATTCTTCATAGAGATTGTTGTTATAGGACATGATT